TTTTTACAATTCTGATTGTAGCTAATATATAGGATCAATTTTTTTTCATACAGGTTCCTCTGCTGGACCCAGGAGAGCCCTACTTTGCATAAGCTGCTGTTTATCCAGAAAAAAAGCTAAGTTGATAAGCCTTCCATTGGAATACAGAAAGACAATAAACTTCAAACTGGGCTGTTCACATTACTAGCTAAATAAGTTCATGGTTCAAAGTATTAAGGATCAACTAACAATCTGTTTTGGCAATACAATAACTGAAATAAATTAATTTTCATGACACATCCATCATTTGAACAAGTGAGTTTTGTACCTCTATTTTAACACAGCTGTGATGTTTCTGAAGCTCAGCTTTAATCCACAAAKCACAAGGGTTTCCCCTTTGCTGATGCTGTGGCGACCTGCACTGCTGCTGGTGTTAGCACAGCTGCCAGCAGCCCCAGAGCTGCCTGAAGACTCAGGTGTGCTTCCTCTAAAACCCACATCCAAAATACACTGGTGCACCCAAAAGTCAAAGGAGCAACAGGTTTGAGACTTAAACAAAAAAAGGCCRCAGTATGAGTCAGCCCTAACTAGGTGAAAATACATATTACTTTTTTAATCTAGGTCCTTCCCTGTAGAGCCCTTTGGTTTATATTTTTCCCCCACCTTTGCGCATTGAGGGCTTTTCCCTGTTTGATTTGCTGCTTGGAGTTTGCTCTGGATAGCACATTTTTGCACAGGTTTTTTATTTTAGAGCAGGAGACTTGGATTTGGTGTGCTCGATTAATACATAATTCCTATTTTATTATGGGCAAGAAAAGCACTCTGATGTGCTAAACCTTCTGGTTTTGCCCTAAAACATCCCATTTAAGAAACACAGYGTGCTGCCCATATGGAAAAGAAGACAACTTTAATCTCATTATTAGCAATATGGGGGGTGGGAAATGAATAGAGGAAAGAGCTGATTTCAGATGACTTTGTACTGGGGCCAACATGACATAGCAGTGTCTTGAGAAAAGTCAGTGTTTACCCTTCAGTCCTCAACAAGGACATACCCAAATGCTTAGCATGCTCTGGTCACAGTGGAAACCCAAGAGAAGGTAAATTAAAAAAAGAAAGAATAGTGGAGATCAGGAAAAGAGAAGAAGTAAAAAGGAATGCAATAGATAATCTATCCCTTCAGTCTTTCTGGTTATCTGCTAAAGAGGAGGAAACAAAGAATTGGGGGAAAAAACAAAAGCCAGCCTGTAAATAATTTCAGGTATGGCATTATTTTCATGTTTACTTTTTGGGTTTGCCTTTTAAAACCATTAAGATAAAGAGCTCTGCTTCTTCACCACGGCAGAAACTATCGAACTATCAAACAGCTGAAGGATGTGCAATTGAAKTAATATCCCAAGTATTTTGTCAATATAGTTCTAAAATTCATAGGCTTAGTGCCTTCAGAGTGATCTGTGTTTAATGTGCACTCCAGTTAGCTATGTTTCCTATTAGGCAGGGAGAGCAAGTTCAATAAAATCTTGAGTTACGTACAGCAGTTCCAACATCTGCATCACATTAGAGCAGACATGAGACAAAACATTGACTCTTGAGGTTAAATCTAAATTTCCTGCTGCAATCCTAAAGTTTGATTTGTTAGGAGAAAAGCAACCGAGAGGAACAGAAATAGAGACTAGAACTAGAAATAGAATTCAAAGAGCAATGGTTGCCAACAATTTGTTATTTTTATGAAGTGCCATTTTAGTTAGAAATAACACAYTGACCACAAACAGTCCCCCAGCTCGCAAAAAGCCACTTTCCAAACAGGGCAGTTCCACCAGTTGCTCCCCTGTATTGCTGCACGACTTTGCTTTTAGTACAGCAAGAGAGCTGAGGATGCAGCAGGGAAAGCAAAGGGTGTTATCCTGTTTCTTATGGGATTTTCTGAATTCCATCATTTCCTACAACATGTTGCTTTCCCATCTTTTTTTAGCTAAGGAGGCCTGGCTTGGGGGCTGCTCTTGGTAGTCATTAAGTCTGCTTTTTAATTGGCATTAAGGATCCCTTTGTGCCCAGGAGCTAAACTGCTGCATCCGCATTGCTGCCATTCCCTGCTGCTGTGAGGAACAAAAGGTGCAGCCTGAAAAGCAAACCCACTGCTGGCTCTCTGGCCCTCAGCCACCCAGGCACTGCCMAAGTGATGATAGTGAAGCTTTTTTTGTTTCTTTTTAATGTCCTAAAAGTGCATCTTTTATTAAAAAAAAATCCAATTTTAGCACATTAGATGGTTTTTTACTCATTACAGAAAACAGAATTCCCCAACTGTTCTTAGAAGTACTACTGCTCTTCCAGTATGTTTTAGTTTCTTCTTTAGTATTTTCCCATTCTTCAGCTGATTTAAAATCCAAGACCCAGCTGTAAGAACACAGGCCTATATTAAAGGCAGAAATACCAAATCACAACTACCAAAAGGCAGATGGGTGGCACAGATACACACAGGGAATTCTTGTGTCACGCTAGGCTGAAAGTATCAAGCCCAAATCYTCAGCTTTAGATACAATCCTATCATCAGTCCTCTGTCTTGCMCGATGTAGACTCCCTTTTCAGAGAAATAAACATTTTTAAAGCTCTTAATCGGGAATTATTTTTTCCATATTAAAAAATGTCAAATATAATCATAAACAAACAAACAAATCCCAATGCATTCAGAAGTTCAGGATTAAAGACATATCAGAAGTGAAGATATGAAGGCATTATCTTTTTCCAAATATATATATATATATAAAAGTACACAGATGCATACACAGACATGCATAGAAGCATGCGTATATATAAATATATATGAGTATATACATGTGTGTAAAAGAGATTTAAAGGTAATTCCCATCACTTTAATKATAATTTTAGATTTYATTTGGTGYTTTCAAATCCAGTTCCAAAYYAATAAGMTGTTGTGTGATATGGCWGAGTAAATTARTAACAAATTTTAAAAGCTAGCATGTGATGGATACCATGGCACCTGGTCACCCATGTGCCATGGGCACAGTGACACATGGACTAACAGCAATATATTTTAATTCTGTGAATGCATTTTAAGCTCTCATGTAACTAAATTCAAAGACTACTGATGACCTGCAGGCGGTGGCATGCTGCAGTTACTGGGGCAGTTGCACCTGAGTTAATTCAGGCATTTCTGAAAAATACAGACTTGGCCATTGTAAAGAAAGAGAGGGTATGGCCAGAAMCAAACTGCTGACACTACTGCCAGCTGCAGAAAATGCTGTTTCAGTACCCAGCAGCCCCATGCTGGAGCTCAGACAAAGCAAACAGCCTGATGCAGGTAGCCACGTTTCTGAAAACACAGAAGCTCAGACTGTAAACACCAYTAAATAAAGAAGAGACTCCAAGGCACCTAAACCACTAAACAAGTTATACTGCTTCAAAGGAAGGACAATCTTAGCTGTTTATCTTCTTCACACCTTTGCAATCATAAATCCCCTTTGCTGGWAAGTTCCTGACAAGTGAATCATCCTTAATCTGTCCTAAGAAAAGCACTGAAATTTTATTTGTTAAGAACTGGCTTTCCTGATAGCCAAGAATTCAAAAATTTAAAAATGAGTCTGCGAGTACAGAGATGCAATTTKAGGTGAACGCCGCACTGGAAATTGTGTGAATTTGTTCAGGAAAGTACAATCCCTGCTGTGCTCCCCACCAAAAAAAAAAAAAAAACCACTCCCCAGAGTATTCACCCCATTTGGGAGGCAGGGAAGAGGTCAGTGCAGACCTTCTTCTGGCATGTTGTAGAAGCTGGCCAACTCTCTAACAGTATGCAGTTCTACTTGCATTTCAGCTCATGAATTAAACACTATCACTCTCCTCTCTCATTCTTCAACACCTCCACATGGCCTTCTTCAGTGCACTGCTCAGCCTTTCCATCTCTAGATCAATAATTTATCACAGTCAATGCTTGCTGTAAAGAAATGGGATGCTATCATTTACCTTTCTTAGCCACCAGACAAGAAAAATTAGATTCAAAATATTCAGGCCTCTATATTAGGCAAGGAAAATATTTAAATACTTTTTCCATGGGTTTTTTCCCAAATTCCTTGTACATTTAGAGCAGTTAGACACGTGAAAATACACACTGAATGTTTAGCACGCTGATCAGTGCCTGGAAGTTTCATCAAAAGGTGAACATTTTAGGAGCACTTGTAACTGGAACAAAAGCATTTTATGGAGCAGTGTGACCTTCTCAGGCATGTCTTGAGAAGGCAACTCTTTTAATTGATTGTACAAACAGATAATTGCATATTGAGCTGTCCATTAACTATAAAATTACATTTTATTATTATGTAAAATGACAARCTTAAAACCACTTAGTCATGGGGGGAAAAAAAACTTAGAAAATGAGCATATAATTTGCAGACTTAATTGAGCCTCTAAAGTCTGAATACATTAGGRTGAAAAATACACCCAAAATCCATAGCATGAAATGATTTTACAAGGATTAAGGGAACAGTGTAAACATAAACACTGTTCATGCMCAAAGTCGATGTAGGTTTTGAATGCTTAGCATCTAAGATATTTCTTGAGTATAAAGAYTGTAAAGGGATGCTTTATCATGCTTGTTGAAAAGAGATGTTTCTCAGGCTTGTTGACTTTATACGTTATTTTCAGTGTCTAAGGAAGTACACACTGCATTTATCTCTCTTGAACTGAGGTGTAAGACAACAATTAGCATTCAGAGGGATTTAGTACAGACTGAGGAATTGGTTTATGGATGTAGCTGCTTCTTTGATGTGGTTGTGT